ATGGTGAGCTATCAAAGACGTGGCATCAACTCTAAAAACTAAAGGATTGTACCAAACAACTTTAGAGAAATACTTTAGTTCATCTTAAACTTTTTTTTGTGATATTGCATATTGTTGTACTCATTGACAAATATTACCATTTGAGGGTGTGTTTTCTTGATGGAATCAAGACAAATTATAACTTATTACAATGTGGAGTTTATTCCTATACATAAAAGGTCCTAAGTTGGAATTGGAATTTTTTATGACTTTATGCAGGTTATTACCTTATAGAGTATTATTTTGGAGAGATTTTAATGTACATATTTTATATTATACTCTCAAAGTCAAATAGGGAGCTTTGTATTTCCATAATCTCATGTTCCCACTCCAATTAGGTCAACTTAATTGCTTTTAAAATCGTGTTCTCACTACACCCTACTAATGGTGCATTATAAATTAATTTTATATATTAATTAGAAGATTGGTATGTAAGGAGAACAACTTATATGTATCAGGTTTACCATCACATAATGCCGTAGTTCATATCTAATGTGGAGATATATTTACGTATAACTAGTGAGTTGATTATCATTTGTATCAACTAAGCCAACTGTAAAAAAATTCTTTTTTTTTTCAAGAAATACCAAGACTTCTATCTCCTTTTATATATTTCTTTTTTTCTTTTGCTTCTGTTGAAATTGCATTATTAAAACGAAATGCTATAAAAAAAATAATCTCTTTCAATGTAAGTTTTCTCTTATTGAAAGACTAGTCTTTATAGGAAGTAATCTCTGACGGAGACGAAGGCTAACCCACCCATTCCAAGAACTTGCTTGCCCCTGTATAAAAATGCAATTGGCCATGGTATTCTTAAGCCGACAAGGTCCACATGCCTTACACTTTGATAATTGTTGTTCTGGTTGCTCTAAGAGATTTTTGTATTTAATTTAATCTCCTACAAGGGCCACATGCATGACAGCATATTTCATTACTGGATCTGACTGCGTACCAATAGGAAAAATAAAATAAAATTGCCAAGGTCATTTTCTATTCGGTAATTATTAGTGCATAATTAGGTCAAGGGGTTTCGTGTTTAATTTAATTTCTTACTTTCAAAAAAAAAAAAAAAAAAAAAAGTACAAGGGCATATCCATGACAGCATATTTTATTATTGGATCTGACTGGCTAGCAACAGGAGAAATAAAATAAAATTGCCAAAGTCTTTTTCTATGTAGGGTCTATCTAGCAGTGCCTTTAAGTAATTAATATACAGTTTTACTATATTTGACAGAGAAAATTTAAAAAGTGTTAATGAGGTAAAAGCAATTTAAAAATTTTCTAATAAGCACGTCAAATTTGTTTGTATGAAGTACTTATATTTTTATAAAATGATTTTCGGTGTGCTTCTAATAAAAGTGTTTTCTAAGCAAAAGTATTTAAAAATATATAAGAAAGAGAGAGGCATAGCAACTCTTATATGTTAAGGTTGTAAAAAACATAGGCAAGACAACGGAACCTTGATTATTCAAAGACTGTATCTTAAGATTATTTTTATGTGAAAAAGAAAAAAATGCGAAGGTCTTAATTTATTTGGTAAACGTAGAACATATTCATGAATATTCCTAGTTCCTAGATTATTCAAAGACAATATCTTAAGACATTTTATGCATATGATTTTTAAATCTATGTCAAGACTATATCTTAAAAGTATATGTTAAGACTATTTTAAGTCGTTGAACTCACAAAATTTGTATTAGAAGCAAAAGAATTGAACGGTTCTGATTATGAATATGTTACTTGGTAGGGACATAACCTTACCACAGTAAATTGACAATATTAAATTAAGTGTCATGAAATCATATAGCCAAATATCAAAATAGCAATTATAATGATGCATAAATGCCATGCAACCTCTTCAGTGACCCCCGTTAATTTATAAAATAAAACACGCGAACCTGCACGTCGCATACCATGCATTTTACCCCTGCAGAGGTGGTTCGAATGTTCTATTATAGAAACTAACCCCCACATGAGATCCCAAGTTCATAAACCCCTTTTTGCTAGTCATCTTATCTAATTCATTGATCTCCAGCCCAAATCACCCACATCGACAATTCTCATTGATATCTTATTCTACTATGCACATCGGGCTCGCCTGGAACTGGTTTCACAGTGAATAGATCAACTACAGAAAAATCATTTCCAACTACCCTCATTTCCATACTTCCAATCTAAATACTGAAATTCCCACCAATTCAACATGAATGATGTACAAATAATATCAATTTATCTTCCACATGTATCATAGTATATTCTCAATGAATAACATTTTAGCAATAATTCCATAACCAATAACAAGTAAACACTTAACTGAAGCAATTAGCCAATTAATATTCAACCACATTAATCAACCAAAAAGATCAAGAATATTATCACTACACAAAATTATCAATTTCTGTAAAGGTTTGCCTTATTTCCTGTGCTGGACTCCAAAGCATTGCACCAACTCTCTATTACAAGAGTGCACCACCATGGTGATCAATTCCTTGGTGCAAGCTGACATCCTAAGCAGGAAGATAAATACGAATATTTCAACACCCTTCTCTTTGGTTCTATTTGATTTCTTAATCTCTTCCTTCTATTTGTCTTCTCTTCTCTCTCTCTCTCTCTCTCTCTCTCTCTCTCTCTCTCATATATATAAATATATACACGCACAACATATGTATGTGTGTGTAGATACACACACACACACACACACACACACACCAATCTCTACGTAATGCATGCATTGCATGCTATCTCTATCTTTCTCTCCTACGAGAGCCCACATGCTGCATACCGCATTTCCTTCCAAAAATAATGGAGCGAGGCTCCTGTTTATAGTAGTAGAAATTGAAAATTTAAAAGCATCTCATTGGTGGACGTGGCGGCAAGTAAAGTAAGATTGGTTCGAAGATATCTAATCCTAGTTAATGCAATACAGCTCCTGCTACTAGCTATAACTAGTCAGCAACAATAGAGTATTCGTGGAGCACCTGGGAGCTCTAAATAATGCCACCTTAACCTTGAAAAATAAATAGATGAGAATGCCACCACCTAGCTAGAGACAGCTGCTAAGCTAATATGTTGAGTCAACAACATGTAATCAAACTTCGATATGATCAATATATACGTAAATAGACTGTAAACTTATTGGTTAAGTACAAGTACATTTGAAATACTAGTTATAGTATATCACATGGAAACCCTAAGTCAAAACTAGAAAATAATAGTATATATTTATTTTTTTTTAAAAATAGGGGTTCTCACAATTGGAATTGGATCCTCTCCGAGGCAATGCCTTGGGATCCTCCTGACTGGACAACATGGACCGTTGGATTTTGATCCAATGACTACAAACAGAAGGGTCCCACTAAAATTATAATAATTGTAGCAGTTGGATCAAAATCCAACGACCAATGTTGTCCGGTCAGGAGGATCTCGAGGCATTGCCAGGTTGCATTGTTTTAAGGTTTTACATTTATGTCTTGGTCTGGTTTTAAGCTTTAATTTCGGTTTTAGACCAAGCTTTTGGATTCAAGTTAGATTCTTCCTTCAACTGTTTGACTAGAGAATCTGACTTGTTATTTGAATCCAGATTTCATGTGCATATCATAAAATCATATCATATAATTGATCGTGTTGGTCTCGGTGCCATAAGGTGATGAGCTTAAGAGGAGCTGCCACATCGTGAAGACCGTAGAAGTTTATCTCGTGTAAGGTAAGGCTGCACAAAGGTAGTAAAGCTGCTCCATAGATAGGGATCTAGGAATTGAGCTTGTGTGGTCTTTGTATGAACCTTTGTTTACACTAGTGGATTGGACTCAGAGGAGAGTCCTGGGTTTTTTTTAACCCAGAGGTAGGTTTTTCCGGCAAAAAAAATCTTGTGTTCAAGTTATGTTTATTGTGTCATACATCCCACATACACATACATGGTACATATATTTGTTGAACATTTAAATGGTATGTGCTCATTGTCATGCTCACTTGACACATTAATAACTTGCAACGATTTACAGCCTTGCTGACTAGGATAGTTTTTTGGGAATTGAGATTGGTATTTGAATCTCAAATTTATCGACTAGCAAATCTTTCTTAGGTGACTAGCGACCTTGACTAGTCAGTCCAACGGATTATAATTTTTATGTATAGGATATTCTAGCTGTAACCAATTTCAGAATCCCAATAAGAATTCCCAAGATTTACACATCATATTTCTAACTAAATTAGGACTGTAACAATTTTAATCTTTTTCATCTCTTAAATTAAATTTGATAAAAATCTGATCCGATCTAATTATTCAAATAGTTACCGAATTCATTAATATGATTATAAATAAATTCAGACAACAATCAACATTGATCTAATCTGATGCCAATAAATATACACACATGAATTATATGTGATTGTATTATATAGAGGTATTTTTCGGTTTGCCTCTCAAACTTGTGTAGAGTTGCTAATTTTCCTCTCTGAACTTTAATTTTAGCCAATTACCACATGAACTTTTATAATTAGCCAATTTCCTCCCGTGAACTTGAGCTTTGGCAGGATACCTCTCTAAAATTTTATAAATAGCCAATTCCCCCTAATGTTAGATTTAAAAATTTTCATCCAATTTCCATCCATCCAATTTTTCATTTTTTTAACCCTCATATAGTTGTCATGTATTGTTTGCGTGATCAAAATGGATGGAAAATTGGACAAAACTTTTTAAAATCTAACGTCAGGGGGAGAACTGGCTATTTATAAGAGTTCAGGGGTTATAGGCTAAAATCAAAATTCAAGAGGAAAATTGACTAATTATAAAAGTTCAGGGGATAATCGAACAAAATTAAAGTTCAGGAGAAAAACTGTCAGCTTCGTACAAATTCGGTAGGCAAATCAACAAATATGCCTTAAATATAAGCACCAATAGAGCAAATGTACATGGTCAACGGTTTTATTAGTTGCTGATTAGTTAGGACTTTCTTTCAGCCCACAGAGAGTTCAATCCCAAATCTCCCAACAATCTAACCCTCGTCTGCAACCAGGATCCTGCTGACAGCGGCACCGACTGTCCAGATTGAAGGCTTAACTAGATAGGTATGACGGGTTTAGTTTAATTTCCAATTTCAATTCATGTCTGTTGGTGTCATAATTTGATTTAAGATTAAGTTTAATTTTCAGTTTCAATTTCCAAAGAATTGCTGTTGGATATATACCCTGATTGGAATTCCTTAATTAAAGTATCTGAATTGATTAGTCTTTTCCAGTAGTTGTGATTTATGTCCTCAGAACCCCATTCAGCTCAGATGGGGGAATTGAGATGCTAATTTGAGGTGGGGGAGAGAGAGAGAGAGAGAGAGAGAGAGAGAGAGAGAGAGAGATGGAGATGGTGAGAGACGTGTTTGGCAACCCCATCACAACCGCAACTTTGGAGGGTATGCCAGAGTATAGATCTGAGTCTGGGGAAATAACAAGAATCGAAAGGGCACGCGCGGCAATGGTTATGCAAAAAGCCAGGGGAAAGGACTACGTGAAGGCACGAGCACACGCCGAGCATTTGAAGGACGAATCCGGTACAAAACTCGCCAATCTCGTCCTTATTTACAATGCAACAGGAGACACCGTTAGATGTGTTGGTCAGAAAGATTGGATTGGCCTCGACGTAGAGTACCCACCACTGATTGGAAATGGCCAGTGGGCTGCGTTTCTGACCGTCAAAAACCCCAGTTATAGTTATGGCTCTACTTCTGCTGTTGTGTATCGCGGCAAGAACGACGATGGTACCAACTGCGACTATATGCTGTCTTGGAGCAACCCGGCGAACAGGGATAAATGGGACAACGCGGTAAGTAGTGATTTTATCTGTATGTACATATTTGAAATTGAACGCATTTGATATATCTCATGGCATATTTACTTACAATGAATAAACTTGTAGTGATTGAGTCTTCTCACAATGATTTATCGAGTGTGAGCGCGGTTATCTCATGCTCATCCTCATTCCTGTACAATGCGTATGTGTGTGCAGGTCTGTACGCAGGTTCGCAGAACTAACCACTTTGACAATAGAGCAACTTGGAGTGAAATCTACAATCACTTGGATACTTTGAGTGAAATCTGCAATCACTTGGATACAACTCGCTCGTCCCAAGAGGATACATGGAATGGATGTACGTCAATCATCACAACTGACAGTGCTGTTTTTGCAGTAGTTGAGGGAACACTCACTTTGGAAGATGTCTGAGTTGATGCATTTGGTGTCATATGTTTCTGCGTTTTGGAAACTTGGAAGGCTAGCTAGGCAGGTGTCTGGCTGCTTACAAGGAATCTGGACCTCGTTGCGGTTGTCTTGTCGCTTGTCAGGAGCAGAGCAGTGGCGGAAATTTGCTGAAGTGAATGCCGATGGTGCTTGGAAGGATGGTTCTGCAGGGGAGTGGTGTTATTATTCGTGATAGCAATGGTTCTTTTCGTTCATAATTTACACTGGTCGAGGCTACCTAATGTAAACTTCTTCAATAAGATATTCGTGCATTAATATTCTTTGTGAACATTGATTTGAGGTTGCAAGTGAACTTTAGCTTTGTTGGTGACAAGCATTTGTCCATGCATCGAGGTTCCGTGCTTGAAATTCTCTTTCCGTAATTTAGATGAATGTAATGTAATTATCTTATTGTTTGTCGAAAAATATGAAATAATTTGAAGTTGGTACTTTTCTTAAAGGAAAAAAAAACATCAATTTGAGGTTAGTTCAATGCCTAACTAAGATTGATCAATTGTGTGGTTATGCCGATTTTCACTATAAAATCCTAGAAAATCTGAGTAAATTTTCTGACCCCGGAGAAAGCCAATAATTGCAAAAGTAGCTCCAGCCTCCCTGCAACAATTTCTAATCGGTGCCGGTACGAGCAGCAGCTCCACCCTTCCTCCGTTGGCGGTGACTCTCTCTCTCTCAGGTTCCGTTGATATGAGATGGCTAGGCCCTCCGCGAAGCACACATCCGCTCGGCTGCTGCTGTTGATATGCGTTGGTCTGCTGGGGATTGCTCTGATTGCCGATTTGCTCTGGGCTTCCTCTCCTCGCTTCATCCATTCTTATATCGACATTGCCGACAATTGGGCTCCTCCTGTCGGTATCTCAAAACCCAAAATCATTCCCTCCCCCAAAAAGACTAGCCAAGAAACCCCCCACCAAGGTATTGGTTTTGCTTTCTAGTTGTTGAATTCTTCATTTTTTTTTATGTGAATTCTCATCAGGGTTTTGTTCGGATTGTGGTGAAATGCGGGAATTTTTTTTTTTTTGGTTGTTTTGTTGAAAATTTTCGTGCTGGTTTAGGATTTTTCGGGTGAATTTGATCTTCGTGTTGTATCATTTGTGAGGAAGTGTGCCTTTTTAGTTTAATTAGTTGCTCGTTGAAGCTCGTTGGCAGTGGTGCTGCTTCGTTTGTACGAATGTTTTCATCCCGGAATTGTTTAGATTGGTAGTGAGTGTTCTGCAAAGGAATTGGTGCTTTAGTTTCTGGATGTGACAGTTGGTTGATTATTGAAGCTCGTTGATGGTAATTGTAAACTATGATTTGGATTTCGACGAGTTTATTCACTCCCATTGTTGCGGATTTATGTCTGCTTGATGTGAATTGAGACACGTATTATTCGGTTCATGAGAAATGGAATGCTTTTCGGGTTCCACATGAAAATGTAGGCAAAGCAAGGAGAAGATGTGTGAATTTAATAACAATTAAATAACAATTAAAGTTCTAATCAATCCTTGTTCAGCTCTGAATATTGACCATTGTTTATGTTACCTATAGGGGAGCATCAATGACAAAAACGATACTGCTCCTGGGAGAGTTTCATCAGCAATCTTTGCTGATTTGCCTGGACCAGAATTAAAATGGCAAAGCATGGCTGAGGCACCCATACCTCGTTTGGATAGAGCTGCTATACAGATAAAGAATCTTCTATTTGTGTTTGCTGGATACGGTACCCATTGATTATGTGAGAACATTGTTTTGCTCCTTTACTGAGTTTCAATGCACCATATCTTCAACACGAACACCTATTTTACTCACCCAGTTGGAACCATGCACTATTTACGAGGAACCACGCAATTACTTACAAGAAGCTTCAGAGAGCCATACCCAAACATAGAACAAAATCCTATCAACCAAAGGATAAATCTGGACTTGTCCTCTTATATAAGTTTCATCTTGTTATTTCTGATTGTTTCAGGTTGTATATAGTGATGTTTACATGATGGATGACGAAATGAAGTGGAAAGAGTTACCTCCTATGCCTAAGCCAGATTCCCGTTTTGAATTTGCTTGTGCTGTTGTCAACAACTCTATTGTTATTATTGGAGGCACAACTGAGAAGCACCCTGTGACTAAGAAGATAACTTTGTTGGTGAAATATTCCAGTTCAACTTGAATACACTGGTATTTCCGTTCTCCTCATTCTATTATACGACGGACTATATATGCTTAATTGTTTTACACATACACAAATGAACAAAAAACCAATCAACTGCAAGGCAGTCATTGTTGGTATGGAGGAGGGTTATACTACCACAATGGGTTCAACAGTTCAACTACCTCTTCCCTTTTCTTTTAGTTGCTCCACTTTTGCAAATAGGATGGTAGCTTGCATGTAGTAATTGATATAAATGCAGGCGCTATGTTTCTACAAACGAGCTATAGCTGATAACGGATCGTAAGTTTCTTTTGTTATCGAAATCTTGGCAATTTTTCTAATTTGTAGCGATACCTATTAGCCCTGCGCTCCTTATGTCCAAAGGGGTTGGGCTCTAATGTTTGTTTCTACTCTTATTTCTGATTTTCGATAATTGCAGAAGTGGTCAGTTCTTGGGAAACTTCCGTTTCGGGTTAAAACCACGCTAGTTGGTTTCTGGAATGGGTGGCTGTATTTTACGTCCGGACAACGAGACAAAGGACCGGATAATCCCCAACCAAAGGTCATCGGAGAGTTGCGGAGAACGAAATTAAAACTGAGCTCGTGATAGGTTCCTTCATGTTGATTCTTTGGCACAATTGTTTTCTGTCAGTCTAACCATTCGCCGTCTCGTAACCAATCATTCATTTATTAAGTTTTTGGATTAGAATTGTTCTTCCCTGTTGCAGTAAATTGAAAAATCACCTACTTACAGGCAATATTATGGACAGAGACTGTTACTGTATTTCTCATTGTTGTTCCAAGTTATGTAACCTTTTATATTAACTTGAGTTCCACGTGAATGATAGGGAATTTCAGTATGGTGTTGAATCTCTTCATGAGTCACGTAATTACTAAAGAGACGTTTGACACAACCGGTGACATTCAAGAATCTCTCATTGATGTATTTTCCTATGGTTTTTGTCCGCTGCTGGTTATTATTGTTGATGTTTTGGAAAAACGAAAGGAAAGTGACTTTCGCACCATTTTTAGCTTCATACACCCTTCTAATTAATCATAGCCATTGATTAAGTTTGTTTTATTGAGTTTGATGACTAAAAATCGAAAAGAGTGAAAATCAGTTTTTAAAATGAAAATGCACTTAAACATGTAGGGTAAAATTTAGGGAATTGTTATTGGCATTCCAAAAATCTTATTTTACACTCCAAACTTTCTATATTTGGAAAGAAAAGTACACTTGTGAGGAGTGTAGAATGAGATTTTTAGAGTGCTAATGGCACTTCCCAAAATTTAATTCAAGTTCTTTCATTAAAATTCTTTTATCATATCGAAAAAGTTTACCGTCAAGATACGTTGCTAAATTATAATTTCGTAACTAAAGTAAAAACGTAAACTATGCCAAACTACACAATTTTTTTAGTGAGTCTCTCACACCACCACACATGGTTATCAATCCTCACATGTAAAATATGTAGGGGACAATTATAACATTAGTGAATTGAAAACATTTAGGTGGACTGTCTCACTGAAAAACACTCCCCTACGTACAAGATACACACCCTCTTAAACGAGAAAACCTCGTTGCAGTCTATTGCACAGCACTATGCAGTAAAAAATGACGCACTGCAACAACACCAAGCAATAACCCACGACATCAGCAAACAGCAGCACACGGTAGCATCAAAAGGTAGTGCACGACAAGGAATTGTGTGACAAAAAAAATATCCAATTGTCCTATAAATAAGGGTCAATTGCTTCCTACTGCTATATGGACAATACACACCAAATAGCAATAGGAAAATCAAAAGAAGGAAGTACATTCCAACCAAAAAAAGGAAGCACATTCCAACCAAAAAAAGGAAGCAAATTCTAAGCAAAAAATGGCAAGGTGATTTCGGCCACAAGAGAGAGTGAAGGAAAGATTTTTGGAACCGCACATGGCACAAAGGATTGCTTCAGTTCTAAGGGAGCTGTTGCAGAAAGCAAAGAGCCACTCCGATTTGTATCATATGTGGCAGATTAGGTAAAATTGAGAGAAGCTGATATGGATCCCAGGAAATCAAAATATGGAGAAGATCTTGGACGTTGAATTCGGAATTCATCAATGGTATACATATAGTTTCAATTAATGTAAGTTTTCTATTTATACATATGTACATAGTTTAGAAAGTAAAATTTCCGAATCCGAGAATTCTGAATTTTCAATCCGACTTGTTACGAAGTGTTCCAAACTCATTCCAATAAAAAAAAAAAAAATTCCGAAACATTCCAATTATTTACTCAAATTATATATTTTCTGATCAATTTTTGTAAATTATTGTTTGTTTTGGAATTTGGATACATTTTTTTCAATATTTTTATGTCAAACTACACTTATATATTAAAAAAATAAGCATATTAGTATACCAAAAAAATAATTGAATTTATACATAAGAAAAAAGTTAGAGAATATTCAAAAGCTTATAAAATATATGATTTATGAATTATGTTCTGAAATTTCAAAGATTAGTCTGATTTTGAAATTTTCGGATATGCCGAAATATCAAATTTGATAATTGTAATCTGATCTTATCTGATTTGATTCTGATTTTTTTGGAACGGAAATCTCAAGCACAACATTGAATAAACCCCAATCAGTCGCCAATCAAATTCCAATTGGTACACAAATGTGGTCTTTCTAGTATTTTCCTATTTTTAGGATAGTGTATCACATACATTTTTTTCTCACACACCCATGTTAATTTTTGTCCATTGATCTTCTTCAATTGATTCGATCCGACGACTAAAAATTAAAAGAGATGTATGAGATGTAAAAATGAGTGTGAATAGCATCACCCTACTGTTTTTACTTTACGTACATTGGAATTTAAAACGCAGTGTTGTTCACAAAACTTATCATCCAGGACATATAACTCCATAAAACATACCAATTAATTGTTTGGTAACTTCCGTAAAAACTAATTAAATTTCAATTGGTGTGTGTTTCATGGGTTTGGGGATCGACTCGTTTACTAGAAGCAGTAGTAGTCATCGTCCTCTTGGTCAATTTGTATTTGACCATCCTCGCAATCTTGTAGAACCAGAAAGCGCTCACCAGCTGCAACCCCGCCGCCATTGCCTGAAGAACATGAACGGTTCAATGACATGTTTACTTACTTGGAATCGAAGTAACAATACCTTACTCAACGAGCAGTTCGAGGTAAAAGAAAAATACCTTGATGATGAACGGGTTGTTAGCAGACAGAGTCACATAGGTGAGATAAGGCCCGCCTACCATCCTCGCAACCGTGAATATAACTGCAAATAAAATCTGTACATGCAACAAAATACATTTATTAGGATTCATTTGATAACTATTTCGTTTTTAAATTTTATTTGTTATTATTTGTGCAATAAATAGAAGAAAAATACACAGGAGAAATGAGGAACGAAGAAGAGTCGGAGTTTCAGTAACTTACATCGGCTGCTAGGTTTAGATCGGTGTCTCTGTAACCAAGCTCTTTGAGAAGCTCCCTTATATGGAGGAAGGGGCTGGACAGCTCTGTTATCCACAATGCTGCCACCATCTCCGACCCACACTAACAATTTAGTACCAAATAAGAATATCATCCTTATCAGGATTCAGAATCAGTTCGGGAAAGCGTTATGAGTTATGACATGACTAATCTTAATTCGAAAGAACCATGCTTGGCTCATTTCTCTTTCCGTGAAATCACGGTTTGATACATAGCGAGAGATAATTTAGTAAAATATCAAGAAAATAATTTATTAACACATGTCAAAAATTAAAGAAAAACGTACTTAACATCTAGCGATCGGTCATAACCAAAGTTCTTAACTGCAGCACAAACCTTTTAGAATTGAATTTGAAAGTGTTGGAAATTATATATTATAATTAATATTATAATATTTAATTTGTATATGAATGAAAAATAAGAGTCATGTGTCATAGTTGAATTCAAATTCATGAGTTGCGTTTGTTCGTTGGAACTTTAGGTAATGGTCACAATGTTTCAAAAGAGGGTGGCTTGAGTTCTATATAAACTCAAACATCCCACATATCTAATGGATCGAAGAGAAGAGTTTTCTCCAATGTCTTAGTAAAAATCCGAGTTGTGTCTTGAGAGTACTGAATATATGAAGTTCGCTAGAGTCCAAAGATTGAAGTGCTTTGACTTCGGATTATAGATTGTTGAATCATGGGAGACGGACGCCTACTGAACTACAAGCACAAGAGTAAGGGTGAAATTCTATCTTTAGGACATTGCATTTATGCAAGCCTCAATCTCCAGGTTTGGTAGTTTTTCTAACTTTCTCTCTAATTGTTTATATTAATTTTGTAAATATTGATGTTGTGAATTTCTTTATAACTATTATTATTGTAATTCTTCTTGTTATTTTCATATTTTCTAATATTGCTCCAACAATCTAAAGACAGAATTTAATATGCAATAGTTAGAAAATATGTTTAAAAAGATTATGGGTTGTAAGACGTATATGCAGTATACGTAAGACAGCGAAGAGAAAAAGGAAAAAAAAATCATCAAACAAGTTGGAGATCTTCAAATCATTGTACGTGATGATCGTTATGAAAACATGACCTTTCGTTGTATTCCATGATAGCGTAAATGAAAAATTGCCACCTTCTTAAATACAAATGATTGACGGAAGATATCTAATTATGAGACTTCATATATATATTGATGAAGATAAAAGTAAAAAGAGAATGGATATTTTTGGATTTTGATTCATGCCTTTTGGATTGAATGATTTGATTCAAACAAAGGAGGTGTCTCAACAGCCTATTTTGGCGTTCCTGAAAATCAAGGTTCTAAAAAACGCTAGGCGCTAGTCAGGCGCCTAGGCAGCCTAGACGGATTTAGGTAAATTTCTTGTAAATAAGTACATATAAAAAATTATACTTGTATGAAATCCATGAATAAGATAATAAAAGAATGATAAAATACAAAAATAGTATCCAACAAGTGTTCAAAATTTAAAAACACATCAAACATATATGCTATATAACTTAAGACATTTTAAATGGTTATATCTTATTTTTGAAACATAAAAGTAAAAATCCCACCAAAAACCGGTCTGAAAGTTTAGCTTGTTGAGGTTAGGAATCATAAAGAGACAATTACGGAGAGGTGCATGCATCCTTCCTTCACCATTTCATAAAGCACACCACACTTGACCCCTCCCTTCCACCCATAGTCCCATCACTCAAATCAGCCTAGAGACTCCCAAACCATTTTGACAAAACCGAAAACTTTTTTTTTTTTTTTTTATTCTTTCCATCATTCAGATTAGCCTAGAGACTCCCAAACCATTTTGACAAAACCGGAAACTTATCACTCAGATTAGCCTAGAGACTCCCAAACCATTTTGACAAAACCGGAAACTTTTTTTTTTATTTTTTTTATTTTATTCTTTTCATCATTCAAATCAGCCTAGAGACTCCCAGACCATTTTGACAAAATCGAAAATTTTTCTTCTCTTTTATTCTTTCCTTTTCCTCATCGTCTTCGTTATCTTTATGTTTCCTCTTTTTCATTTCTTTTTTTTGTTTTCCTTCTATAAATTCTCCCTTCTTTTTTTCCTTCTTCTGTTTTGCGCTTTTGAGCTCCTCTTCTTCGGTTGATTTCCGAGAGGCAGTCGCAAAAGCTAAGAAGGTCGTGGTGCACAGAGAGAGGGAGTTAAAGCGGCGAGAAAGCTTTTACGATGCTAAGTATGTATTTGGAATTTCTTCCCAGGAAACTATTTCACTCCGCCTAGATTGCCGTGTAGACAGCTGCCTAAATGGATGTATATGTTTGCAAAGTAGTATTGTACTCGTGGTGGCAAGTTCATTAACTTAAATTTTAGTATCAATCAAATGGATTGATTTGCATATGCCATTTGTTTCCAGCCCATTTCAGACTAGGATAAGCTGGCATACACATAAATACTTGAATTTGTGCAAGAGTATTTGAGAAGCATATAGTGCTTGCATTTGTCCAAGCCGTTGATCATAAGAAAGATACAACGCTAGTATAATCAAATGGGTATGAGGGCCTGGAGGTTTTAATGTATTTCCTCTTCACGAAATTGTGTTTGGGGTTGTTGAAAAGATGTACCACTTGGCATCATCTAATGAAAGGCACTAGAATATGGTATAAAAGTTTTAGACACATACATGTTTGCAAAATTTGGAAGATTAAGTCTTCAAGTAGGTCCTTATTCGAGATACTGGAAGATTAAGTCTTCAAATTATCTTGCAAAATAAGAGACATTGTCTAACTACATGCAGGTTGCAATTAGTCAGAGTTGCAACCTCATAGAAAGTGTACATACACTTGCATGCCAGCCAAAAGAAGTGCTTTTCTCTTGCTAGTGAGGCCTGAAGGCCTAAGAAGATAGATAAAGTCTATCTTGGTTGTTCCCTACTTTTTAAAGTAGAAAACGTGATCAATTTAATGATAACATTAAAAGAAACTACAACTATGAAAGAATTGTGGGGGTTGGTTAAAAGTAATTTTCTAATTGAACAACATTTAAGATGTAATATCTTGTAATGAGTAATTGTTTAAGGTATGGCAATGTTAGAGATCTTCTTATAAATACTTTAAATGTGGGGGAGTTTACCCAAGTGCGTAGTGTTAGCAAATTACTTAGTAATTAAGTCCTAATATAATTTTGAGGACTTGATATTTCAAACAATGTCAAACAACCATTCTCGTATGAAATATAATTTCATAAGATGGATTGTGTACACCATTAAAAATAGTCAACCTAGTAGTGGATCCAATTATTAAAGGTCAGACTAGAGAGTAAGTTAATCATTGAAGGGAACGAGGTTAAAGCTAAGATAACTAATGAATTAGCCGAACGGAAACCTAACTTAGTTGATTGGAGATCCCATGGTCTAAGTTCAATAGGCAAACTAGTTAGGCATGATTCAAAGAAGTTAATACACTATATACCTCATTCCTATGATGGAAGAAGTGTGTTGTCTGCAGACGTTTTAGGTTGTATAAATATACTTAATGACAGTGATATCTTATAAATAAGAGGAATAGAACAGACTATTCTTAATCAGTGGTCAACTATGTGAGAGTAGAAGTGAGTCGCTTCTATAAGTATGAGATGGCTGGATTATCTAAAGCTCTCATGAATCTGGGATTTGTTCATAACCAAAATGAACACAACAGTATGAACCGGAATATATTAGGATTAGTGATGTATGTTGCTTATTGTCTCGGTTTACTGCTGCGGTAAACAATTCAAGATTACATATTCACTGCGTCACCAAGTAAATCCGATAAGTATTCACTTGGGTAAGTTCAAGTCCAAAAGACACATCTAACGATGCATCTCTTGTCTGCCTGTACTCTCAAATTCTTCCTACTTTTTCATTTATGTGGGGGATTGTTGAAAATTATATATTATAATATTTAATTTTTATATGAATGAAAAATAAGAGTCATATGTCATAGTTGAATTCAAATTCATGAGTTGCGTCTGTTTGTTAGAACTTTAGGCAACAGTCACAATGTTTCAAAAGAGGGTGGCTTGAGTTTTATATAAACTCAAACATCCCACATATCTAATGGATTGAAGAGAAGAGCTTTCTCCAATATCTTAGTAAAAATCCAAGTCATATCTTGAGAGTACGAAATATATGAAGTTCGCCAGAGTTCGAAGATTGAAGTACTTTGACTTCGGATTATAGATTGTTGAATCTTGGAAAACGGACGTTTACCTAACTACAAACATAAGAGTAGGAGCGAAATTCTGTCTTTGGGACATTACAATTATGCAAACCTCAATCTCCAAGTTTGTTAGTTTTTCTAACTTTCTCTCTAGTTGTTTATATTAATCTTGTACACATTGATGTTGTGAATTTCTTTATAACTATTATTATTGTAATTCTTGTTGTTCTTTTCATATTTTCTAATATTGCTCCAACAAAAAGAACATCTCTAAAACCTAACAGAAATTTCGGTTGGGCTGCCTAACTAGGGTAGTTCTCACATCAAATAAAATTAACATGCCGTCATGTGTTACATATACTCTCATAATTTGTAAAGTAAGCACTCAAACAGATGTTTAACAATACTAAGGGAAATAATGGTGCTATCCACACAGCCTTCTCAATTTTTCAATCATTACATCAAATTTGAAGCAGATCAATTACAAAAAATTAAAAATGGTGTGTGGGAAGTAAAAATTGGTGTGAAAATAACACTTTCTTATTAAAAGTGACAGGGAAGTGCTATCTAGTATTCACACATCTCTTTTTACCCTCACAACTTCTGGTCGTCAGATTGAATGATCAAATAACAAAAATTAACAGAAAATGTGTGGAAAGTAAAATAAATGTGTGAAACCCAAAAGGAAACTAGTTTACCTTTTGGTAGGAAAGGCCAGCTCCAATGCCAACAATGCTGACCAAATGGTGGAAGAAATTATCAGGATTGAATTTCTTATCAAAGAGGCAACAAACCAGATCGTATATGAGATACGAAAGGCTCGCAGCCAGTGCTTTCATCTGCGTATATATTATGGTCAACCATTCACAAACGTTATCGGTTGCTTGATAATCATTTCATTTTCAGTTTTTAAAACAAACAAAAAAAAACTAATTATTTTAGTTTTCACAACTTGCGTTTTGAAAACTTTTCGGTTTCAAATTTTATTTTCTGAAAACAAAAAACAGTTGCCAAACCTAAATAGTTATCAGAAGCTTCAAATTGAGCTACTCTCATTGAGCTCTCTAAGTGTTTTTATTTTATCTTATAAAACTTAAAATTATTATTCCCATGAAAAAACAAAACAAAATACCTGAGGAGGAGAAGAAGTTGAAGCCAGAGGGCACATAGGGCAGTTCCAGTCTTTAACAGAGAGGGAAGCTAAAGTGACAGCCACAGCTGCATGAACTGTGGAAACAAGGCGGTTGCAGAAGTCGAACGATCGCTTCGGAAACATCCTTCGTACTAACAGAAACCCCGTCGTCCATGAAATCACCCCCAACACCACCACCCTTGCAATTTGCTCCTCCATCCTCCTCTCCTCCTCCCTCTCTTTTTTTCTGTCTTTTTTTTTCCTTCTAATTTCTAACAAATGAAAGCATAAAATGTTTGATGCTGGAAAGCTTTTAATTTGATTTATGAATTTGTTATTGGTTGGAATTTCATTTAGTTTTAGAACTTTTAGTAGTTGGATTTGAAGGCAATGGGAGGAAAGTAGGTCACTTGCACCAAACTTTATATTAAAATTAAATGATATGACTACCAGAAAATAAGTGAAGACAATTTATTTATGGCTTCCGTTCGTTCGTTCGAATCATACAAATTTGCTGACATTAAAAATGATTAATTCTTAATTAATTGTTAGTTGATCAAAATCATCGGTGTAAGATAGTCGTGAGGCATTAGCTGGATGATTCTTGTTTCAGAACATCCATTGTATTCCATGCACTGCATATATGTACCTCTATCAAGTGTAATAATACAATTAATACAATTATTTGAAAACTTAAAAAAATTATACCAATCAATTGTATTATAACACTTAATATACCGAAATATGTTCCCGACATACTAAAAAGTGTCTCGCTTAATATTATTTGTTTGTAGTCATTATTCTACGTTCATGGAATGAACACACTCATCAACTTAATTAAAGCTTAATTAGTTAGTCACTTTGTTAACTATAATTATTAAAATGAGTGAAAAAAAAAAAATTCTTTTGATACAAGTTTTACCCAGTAGGTGAATCGAACTCATAACTTCGAATATAAAGGTAAATGCTCCTTTAACTAAATGAGTTTCAAGCCTATGTACAACAGTGTACCTCCTTGTTCCTCAAGTTGTATAATCAACCAATTTCCTCTATACATATGTCATATTATAACCATTCAGTTCTGTAATCTCAATTTATAGATCATGTATGCAAAATATCTATCAAATTGAACATCTTATATTAAATATATTATACACGTATCAAACAAATCAACAATTTGACCGGCACGGAGTTCAGACCTCAGAACCGGATGTTCATCGCCGGAATGGGTTTCGTTGGCCAACGCCTGGGGCGAGAGCTCAAGAACCAAGGATGGTAATTAAATCTTAATTACTTCTGGTACTTAATTTCACAGTTCATGAACTGAATTTCAAATTTAGGGTTTTTAATTTAAGCTTAAATGTTGCTGTTATTAGGGACGTCTCTGGTACTTGCACTAGCATTAACAAGAAGAAGAAACTTGAGGAAGAAAGAAGCTTTCAGATTTACCTTTTCGATGCAAATGAGCCAGAGTACTTCTCAATTTTTTTTAAATTTAATATAAATTTTTTTAATTTTCTTTTGCTTTTTGGTTTATTTGGGAAACCAATATCTGGATATTGTTCAGTGTGATCATCCTTGATGCTATCAAGAATCATACCCACATGGTTGTCTCCATTCCTCCTGTTCCCGGCATCGGTGATCCGGTATGATTCGTTCTAGCACAGTTAGGTTAGGAGATATTCGAAACTGGTTATCAAGTTTAGTGACAATTTATAGAGGGAGCTGTTATTGGCAATCCAAAAAAGATATCTTGCACTCCTCTCGTAAAAAGCTACGGGATGATTGTGCATGAAGGAGTGCATAATGACGTTTTTAGAGTGTTAATGACAGTTTCCGTCTTTAGGGAACTAATGTTGGCCTTGCTTTTGTAGATGCTGCTTATGAACAAATTCTAAGGACAGAACTTGTGGGTGGAAAGCTTCAATGGCTTGGTTATCTGTCATCAACTAGTATGTATGTTTTCGTTGTGAGATAGATAAAATGTGGTCGACAAGCATTCATATTATACACTTAATCAGAAAGTGAATTCTAACATTGCGATTTGACTCGAATTAGACTCATTATGCATCTCGCTTGTTGCCCCCTTTCATGAGAAGTGACAATGTTGCATTCTCCATTTCATCAAAATAGTTGTGTGTGGGTTGTTTTCTCTCATGCTCACCAATGTTAGTTTTTTACTATGGAATTGCTTCTGCTAGGTGTTTATGGAGACACTGGCGGTGCGTGGGTAGATGAGGAGTAAGTGAGTGCATCTAAGTTAACGACTTTGATATGCAAACTACTGCTCAGCATAACAAATTGTCCCAGAAACTTTGACTATTATTTGGCAGTTATATCCCAAACCCCACAAGTGAGTCGGGCAGGTTAAGGTTAGCAGCTGAGGAGGGATGGTTCAATTTCAGCCAGAGTCTTGGCATCTCAACACAAGTATTTCGGCTTGGAGGGATCTATGGTCCTGGTAGAAGGTTGTGATAAATTCAAAACCATTATGTTTAAATTCTGTCTTTTCTTTTCACTCTATAATTATAGGAAGCCTTCCCTGTTTCTGAAGTTTCAAAATTGAAAACACATCTCTTCTTAGCAATTCAGTGTCAGATCTCTGCTCTAATAGATAAAGTTTTCGCTTCTTTCTCTAGCTAAAAGTTGGGTTTCTTGCAAACTATTTTCTACAGTGCTGTCGATACAGTAGTCAAGCAGGGAGCTTTATCGGAGAGTCAGAGAATGAGAGGACATAAGCGGTTCACATCAAGAGTTTCTGTTGATGATATTTGTCAAGCAATTATGGCCAGTACATGTACACCGTCATGCAGGTTGGTTCTGAGTTTCATTTTTTCTTAACTTTGTTTGATTTTTTTTTTTTAAACCATTTGTTCTAAAGGTGTAAAACATAGTTTAGATACACTGAAATGATAGACTTTAAAATCGCAGGCGGGTTTACAATATTGTTGACGATGATCCAGCCCCAAGGGAAGAAGTATTCAAGTATGCAAGGGACTTGGTTGAGAAAAAGTGGCCTGGCTGGATCAAACAGCCTTCAGAGCAAAAAGAGTCTTTGGTTATTGCTAACAAGAGAGGTTTACGGGGAGAGAAGAGAGCTTCGAATGCTCGCATGAAGAATGAACTAGGAGTGAGGCTGCTACATCCAAGTTATAGGTCGGGATTGCAGAGTATTATCGAGCAAATGGATAGCCCTTTTGAACACGGCAAATTGAATTCATGAGTAGCGGAAGCGGAACTCTCCAAACATCGAACTTTTTGCTCTGTTGTTTTAAACATTTTTGGATGAAAATTTAATTTCCGGCAACCTTGTTTTCGTTGTTTGACAATCTACTAAAAGAATTGATCTTTAAATCAACACACTCCATACACGTTTTGTTCTTAACGAAAGTTATGTGCATGCATTGTCACTTGTGGCGGCCAAACGGCTCTTGTGCTCTCGCACCACACATTTTAACCGTTACGTGCAAAATTCATCACACGTGAAGGAGTGTGTTCTCGAATTGAGTTTTTCCAAGTCTAGGAATTACTCCTTTCAGAACTGACTTGGGCTATTGCCATTGAGCTACACTTTGCTCAACTCTCCAAACATTCAAAAACGGGCCGGGTTTATCCTGATCCATATCCCAGATCGTCAGCCTCGGTGGTTGTCTACTTGGGAATCGGATTCTCTGAGCTTAGGAGGCTGAGCTTCCAGAGTAAAGAATCTGAACCGTTGAAATTTAATCTAACGATTACAAACTAGAGATTTCTTTAAAAAGTAATAATAATTACAACCGTTGAATCAAATTTCAATATCCCGCATAATTTGCTCTGGAGTCTCGGCCTCTAAGCCCAGAGGGGATCCGGTTCCGTCTACGTGTCTCTCTATCTGGCTCTTTGCTTTCTCTCTCCATTCAGGCTGCACTCTTCGGAACAAGAGACGGTGTCTCATCTGTTCTCTACCAACAACAAACTAATCGGAAAACCCTAAAAAAATCGATTGAAGCGGCGCAATCTTAAGCGGGTGCTGTGATCTGGTTCCCCAGCTTCTCTGTTCTGGGTAATTCATCATATGAAATTAGGGCTTTTCGGCAACTGGATATTTAATTTCTGGGATTAAGTTGTTTTTGGTCCCGGAAGTGAAAATTTAGGGTTTTTGAATTTAGGGTTCATTTCTTTTTCCTTTTTCAAGCTGAGAGATTTGTGCATGTTTTGTATTTACCGGGCTGCATTGTAAATTAGTAACCGGAGAAATTGGAGAAAAATCTACCCCTTTATCTGGATTATGTTTTCGACTTGTGAACTTGGGTTTTATTTAATCAGGTACCTGGCTATGATTCCGAATGGATGCGCCATGCCCGCCGGGTGTAGTTCCGTGAATTTCGGAGAGTGTAAGCCATCGATTTCTGGTGGCCCTGTCTTGTCATGTGCTTCCCGTTTTCCGATTAAGGCGACTGTGTTTCCATGCGTCAGGTCATGGAGAGCTCGGCAGGAACGTAAGTCTCTCGGTCGTATATTTCATTGTGAATGTCCTGGTTGTTTAATTCCGGTATGAAAAGTACATCAGTGTGTAGCTCTCAATCCTATCTCTGTTAATGTGCTTGACACACACTTCACCGGCTATCATTTACTGACACAAAAATACGTATCTGCTCAAATAGAATTTGACGTATCATTTGCCAAACCAATGTTGAGTTGAGTGCGGGTTTTGATTCGACATCTATTTTGTCCTAGTTATGCCACTTTTGAACCCCTGTGCTGCATCGAGCCCATTTTTCAGCAGGGGGCATGGTAGCTTGTTACGCACAATCCCTGCATTGAAAAGTAGATACGAATCTCGAATGGCTCCTCAAGCATCTAAGGATGTTCCATACAGTTTTCGGTTCCCTCCAATGACTAAGAAGCCAAAGTGGTGGTGGAGGACATTAGCCTGTCTCCCCTATTTGATGCCCCTACATGAGCCATGGATGTATGCTGAGACAGCGTATCATCTACACCCTTTCCTGGAGGACTTTGAATTCTTAACATACCCGTTCCTTGGGGCCATTGGGAGGTTGCCCAGCTGGTTCTTGATGGCATACTTTTTCGTTGCGTATCTGGGAGTTGTGAGGAGAAAGGAATGACCTCATTTCTTCAGATTTCATGTGGTGATGGGCATGTTGCTGGAGATTGCCTTGCAGGTGATAGGGACTGTGAGCCGTTGGATGCCGCTTGCTGTCTACTGGGGTAAGGTTGGGATGCACTTCTGGACG